AAGAACGCGGCAGATGAGGTGTGAACGGCCGACGAAGGAGGATTCGGCTGGGGAGAGAAAAGAGAGAGAAAAAAAAAGTTTTGTTAAACCTAGCTCGATACCAACTTAGAATAGGGAAATTGTATTTGATTCATAATAATATTGTGCACAATATACAGACTATATATAGACAATAACAAACCCTAATCTAGGACATAATAGGAAATATACTAAATATTACAATACTTGCTAACAGAGAATTTGGATTAGTAAGAATCCTCCAAGCTTGTTTGCTGAGGAGGGCAAGATTAAAGCTCTTCAAGTCCCAAAATCCAATGCCTCCACCCTCCTTCGGTTGAGTTATCTTCTTCCAACTTATCCAACGTATTTTCCTGTTATCATTATCTCCCCACCAGTAAGAAGAGATCATTGAAGATATTTCATGTACTGTTGTATCCGGCAGCTTGAAACAGGACATAGAATACGTTGGAATTGATTGAAGAACGCTCTTAATCAGGATCTCCTTTCCACCTCTTGACAAGTTCCGATCTTTCCAGCCTTCTATTCTCTTCCAAACTCGATCTTTAATTCCATTGAACAGCTCCCGTTTGCATTTTCCTGACACAGTTGGCAGGCCTAAATACTTTTCATGCTTGGAAACTCTAGGGATCCCCATAATTGATGAGATACGAGCTGCCACTGTATCATCGGTGTCTGGTCTAAACAGAATGCCTGACTTCTCATAATTAATTTGCTGACCAGACACCTTTTAGTAGAGATTAATTCCATAGTTGAACTGCAATGCTTCACTTTCAGTAGCATGTCCCAACAAAAGAGTATCATCTGTGAAAAAAAAAAAGGTGAGAAATGGAAGGGGCTCCATTAGCAACAGCAACTCCATGTATGCTTCCACACGCTTGCAAGTCTTTTAAGATGCAGGAAAACATTTCAGAACAAATTATAAAAAGGTATGGAAACAGTGGGTCTCCTTGCCTTATACCTGAGTGTCAGTAAACTTCCAAACCTCATACCATTAAGAAGAAAAGCGAAAGAAACAGATGACAAACAAGAGATTATAAGATCAACAAAAGCATAATCAAATCCTAGGGCTTCCATGATATTTCTAAGAAAACTCCATTCGACTCTATCGAATGCTTTACTCATGTCAAGCTTGATTGACATTAGACCAATATTCCCTGATGTTCCGGCTCTAAGATAATGGTGCGTTTCATATGCAACCAAAATATTGTCTGTTATTAACCGACCAGGGACAAAAGCTGATTGAGAATCAATAATGGTAGAAGGCAAGATATTACGGAATCTATTAGCAAGAACTTTAGATGCTAGTTTATAGATGACATTACAGAGAGATATTGGCCTAAATAGGGAGATAAAATCCGGATTCTGTATTTTAGGAATGAGAACTAAATAGGTAAAATTAACAGCATGAGGAAAAACCTTTTTACTAAGAAAATCTAAAAGAAACTTAGTAACATCTTTACCAACGATATGCCAGAATTTTTGAAAAAATATAGGGGACATACCGTCTGGACCAGGAGACTTAAACGGACTCATTTCCTTTAGAGCATAGATTATTTCAGCTTCTGAAAAAGGTAACTTGAGTCGATCGTTCATTTCTGTGGTGACTCTTGGATGAATTCTACTTAAAGCTTGCTGAATGTCCAACCGAGTCGGCTGTGAAGAAGTGAAGAGCTCAGCAAAATGATCCACAATAATCTTCTCCAAATCTTCCTTAGCAGTACAATCCAACCCCTCCTGATTTTTTAAGGAAGTGATATGGTTCACTTCCCTACACTTATTAGCATGAGCGTGGAAAAATTTAGTGTTGCGATCTCCATGTTTGTACCAATGTTGCTTGCTACGTTGTTTCCATTTAAGATCGTCTTGATCCAACAAAGTCTCCAGTTCATTTCGCAAAACACTAATTCTTTCTTTGGAGGAGTCATCAATCGGGCCTTGCGCCAGACCAGCAATCATGTTCTTCAAAGAGTCTATTCGTTTGGAGATTTCTCGTACGTGTTTCCCTCCCCAATGCATCAATCCAATGGCACACTGATTGATTTTATCCGGTAACTCCAATGAATCATTATTCCAGGACCCTTGAATGATTTTCTCACAATCCAGAGACTTCACCCACATCGCCTCAAACCTGAAAAGTTTGAAGTTCTTCTGTTCTGCAAACCAGGGAGATTAAATCGAAGATGAAGAAGGAGGTGGTCAGAGTTAATCGTAGCACAATGCTCCACTCTCCTTGACTGAAAACAACGACTCCAGTGTTCATTACAGACTGCACGATCAAGAAGAGATCTCTGAGTATTTGGCGCAAGCAACAATCTGTTCCATGTAAATTTCGGGCCTGAATAATCCATGTCTGACAGATTACAAGTCAAAAGAAAATCTCGAAAATTATGAAGTTGCCAGTCATGACGAACACTGCTTCCTACAGCTTCATGATGATACAAGATTTCATTAAAATCCTCCATAGAAATCCATGGAATATCAGGATCCTCATTAAGATGTTTAAGGTTTTGCCATGTATCTCGTCTTTTGTTCAAATCCGACTCTCCATATACTCCTGTAAATCGACATTTTTTATTCCAGAATGCAACATTGACATCAATAAAACGATTACACATTCTCCGTAGATCAACTACCAAATTCTTTTTCCAAAGTAGAGCTAAACCTCCTGATCTACCAACACTAGCAACAGCTACACCATTCATATTTACAGAGTTCTTGAATTTATTGAAAACCGAAAAGGCAATGTTTCTTTAGCTTGTCTTTATCGGAATGGATATCAGAGAATTTTCAGTTCTCAGTATGCTGAGCAAGAGGGGGACTGGAGTTCTTATTGCGGTGTCACTTTTTGGCTAATCTGGAATTGGCGGAACAAGTTCATTTTTGAAGGTGTGGAAAAGGGGCTGTTGGCGCGTACTGCGGAGGTTGAGAAAGTTGTTGGTGGAATAAGGCAAGCTTGCTTGAGTGAGAAGGTGCTGAGGGGTGTGTATATGGGTAGAGAGATGCGCATGATTCATTGGACGCCTCCCCCTGAAGAGTGGGTAAAAATCAACTGTGACGGAAGCTTCCATAACATGTCTGGCATGGCTAGCGCCGGCGGGATTGTGCTAGATAGCTACGGGAGATGGATGAAAGGCTTTACAATGAATATAGGATTTTGTACAATTACCGGGGCGGAACTGTGGGGGCTTTTTCAAGCCCTAACCCTAGCCTCGGAGCTCGGTTATCGGAAAATTGTGGCTGAAGTTACAATCTTAGTGTCGGTTCGATGGCTAGGGGAACGGATGAAGTGCCTGGTGTCAATGCTGGATTATTCTATGGTATTCGGGATCTTTTGAAGTGGGATTGGATTGTGGAGGTAAATCATATATACAGGGAAACTAATTTTGTTGTCCACTTTTTGGGGTCGTTAGCAACTCAGGGTCCTGGGGGTTATAATGGCTCGATAGTCCACCACGGGGAGTAAAACCATAATTGGAACACGATGTTATAAAGATTGCATACCCTAAAAATGTACGGATATAAGTATTTGCCTCCATCATTGTAATAAATAAATAAATAATTCCTTTCATTATTTTCTTAGTGCATACTGTAGGTGAAAAAAAACGCAGAGGTAATAGTATGGAATCTGGATTTTATGAAGCACAATAAAAATCGTGTGGGAGCCTCCATGCACAGCTTACAAGAATATGGTGTACTGAATTTTGAATTTTTATTTTTTTTAAAAAAAAAATCCATTTCGTATTTGCATCCCACGAGAACATATCAAATGTTACACAAAGGCTGTGTAATTACAGTTGATTAAGTCATAATTAGGCCAGATTCTTCATTTCTTGATTGAGAAGGTTAGATGGGGTGATTAACTTGGTGATCATGAAGGCGATTTTTTTTCGTTTTTCAAAAAACATATGTAGTCAACTCTTTTTGTTGTTTCGGAAACATATGTAGTAGTCTTTGTTCAACGGTTTCATCACATGAAGTGGCCTCTCCTGCTTTCTTCGATCACCAGAATTAGTCATTCCATTTATAGTTTATATATTTTCGTGTTGGCTCCCAACAGCTGATATGTGGTGTTAGAGAGAGAGAGAGAGAGAGAGAGAGAGAGAGAGAGAGAGAGAGAGAGAGAGAGAGAGAGAGAGAGAGTACAAGTACACGCCATCAACCTTATTTTTTCTATTTCAAAAAAATTATTTTCATTGTGAGGTGAAAAATATATTACTTTTAATGTAAAGTATCATTAATTATAAATTTTAATATAAACTATTTTTTTTGGGACACAAAGAAATATAAAGGATGGTGGGAAATGGTTCATCTTCGTTGGCTTGAAATAGTGCGGGAGACGCAAACTTGCAACGATCACTGTTAGCTAATTGTAAGAGGTGTTTTTTAAAATTAAAAAATTAATTCAGATTGTAATGTGTCCATCATTATAACAGCGACTAATTTTTAATTTTTTTATTTTTGGTTTAAATTGTAGGCACGGCATGGTAATTAGTTAAAGGGTTTAAGCCATTATATATAGTGAATCCATTTCTGTCAGGGGAAAAAATTAAAAACGAAATCACCGAAGAGGAAAGAAAATTTGTTAAGCATGAATTGTAATGAAAAATATATATATATATATATAGAAGGAAAATATCAAAATTACTGTGACTGTAGAGATGTGAGACGATTCGACCAAAAAAAGTTAAAAGAAAACGAAAGAAGAAGGAAATAGAAAGGAAGAAAGGAAGCGCCAAAAAAAAGGGTGAAAAAAAACCATTTTCAAGATTGATCTAGGCCGTCCAATGAATCAGCAAAAAAAAAAAACTTTTTCAAGATTGATCTAAGCTGTCCAATTAGCAAATCTCCACTTAATAAATAGTAATCCTGCCGTCAAAAGTAAAGTGAAACTGAGCAAGTTGACCTGACCAAAAAAAAACACAAAAGAGTTTACTGGCTGTGTATCTGAATAATCCGGCAAGAAAGAATCAGTAAGAGAAATGGCCGACGAGTTTCGGTTCGATCGGGCCGAGAACCTCTGGCAACAGGCTAGTCGTCCAAGAACCGGTGCCCTCAACGTCAATGCAGCCAACCAAGCCGCCGTCGTTCAGCCGGAACCAGAAAACCAACATGCCGGCGCCGTTCTAGGCAACTTTCCTCCGCCTCCGCCTGGCCCAGCGCCTCCGGCCCCACTTCTGAACTCAATACAGCAAATGGATGCAGCAATGGGCGTGCAAAGGCGACGTCGAAGTGTGGCGGTTGAAGCTGGAGACTTCCCACGATCTTCAGGCGAAGTGTGGAATCCCGGGGACGATGATTTACAGGTCCCAAGTTTGGTTTCTTGATCATAGTTTCTCCACCCAAATTCTTTCTTTTACCCCATTTCTTGATCAACTTCTTTCTTTTACCCTATTTCTTGAACAGCGCTAGCCTAAACTTTGTTAGCCCTTCTCAAACCCCTTTTTTTAACCCACTATTTCGTTATTTTTATGCCATCTATAATTTCTTTCACCAAGCCCTCGTTAATTTTGACTGTTCTTTCTTCTTCTAAACCATCATGCCACGCTAATATTTTATTCTTCCATATTTTGCCGGAAATTCGTTTATTCTTTTAGAACCCGGATCAGCTGTTGGTTGGCCTTTAACATTTTTTGTTAAAATTAGAGAGAAGGGTTCACTTGTTCATAGGCGATATTTGACCTAGCTAGCTACTAGCATTTATTTTCTGGACATTTTTGTTGCCATAAATAGTTCTTTCATATAATTACGAGTTTAATACTACTGAGAACGAGTTGCTTTGTTGTTCTTCGTTATTCTTCTGCTTTGCGTTTTTGGATTTTCATCCAATTGCTGTTTATACCTTTTTTTTTTTTTTTTGGTGGGTTAGAACAGAATTTAGACTTAAAAGACAACTCTTTTGCAACATGGAACAAATATTATATATTAGTGTACATTAGCTATATGCAAGAAACACAAAAAATACCCAAACCAACTGATCGATTATTCAATCGTCAAATTTTGTAGATAGAATTAATTCAGTGTTGATGCTAATATATCCTTGAAGCTTAGAATCTATGTTGACGCTGACCCGTTAATGAAGACTGACAAACCAAACCAAGCATACGAATGAGTTTTGTAATAATGAGAATTTCGATTAGCTAAACTAGCATAAAGAATGCGTGATGATCGTTTGTGCATTTCATATGGGACAAATAAAGTACTGTTTTGTATATATAACACCTATCATGCGGTAAAGAAAAAAAAACAAAAACAAAAGGTTGCCAAATTTCATTATTGCGGTTCTTGCATGTTTCAAGTACACAAATACATTATTTACTTAATTAGAGTCCACATGAACATTTTACCGTACTTATATATCGAGATTAATTTTTAGTTCTGTGAACCACCCCACCCCCACCCTCTCCCCCCGGTTATTATCACAATACATTATAAGGTGCTTAAAGTTCTCCTGAAGATCTATATGGTTTGTACGTAAGTTTCATAACTAGATTCAACGCATGATTGAAGCAAAAGAATTTCTTCTCTTTTTTTTTCCCGATCAAAGCTGCGAAATATTCCCCACGTATTTTTACAAATCAAGAAACACTGGGCAATTTTAATGCACAACTACTACCACCTTTATTTACAGCAGCCAAGGTGTACCATTTGTTGGCTCAAACTCATACAACGAATATGGAGTTAGGTTTTTTTCACCTTTGAGCACGATTTCTCATCAACAATTTCGACGGAGAGTTTTTTTTAATTATTTTTTTTTTATTAAAGGTTGAATCTACACATATTGTCGATACCATTAACCTTATATATATCCTTGTACATCAAAGATGGAAGGAATTAGGTTTCATAACGAAAGTGCATGTAAACAACAAACGACAAATTCCATGGAATTCTGAACCAAGTACCTCCAGTGGTAGGTCAAACAACGAGTGTTTCCCATCTTCCGTAAGTGATTCTGTTCCATGCCGCTAATAAGTGCACTAACTGCAATAGTCACAGCAAGCATATAAATAATCCGACGAGAAATCCGTGAATGAATCCGCTGGACAAAAAAAATACTCCCTCTGTCTCGAAATTATTGTCCAATTTGGGAGTACACTTTAAAGTTCAATTTGTTCTAAAAATGAAAATTTAAATTAGACAATAATTTGGGAGCTGAGGGAGCTAGTATGATGTTATTCTGTATCCCTCCATTCGTTGTTTGAAGCAATATCTACTGACGCTCCAATTGGCTGCTGTAAAGAAATTAAAATTGCATAGAAATTAAATTGGTTCCAAGGAATTTGTAGACAAACTAAATTCGAAAACTGATTCAACAAAGGTCGAGACCCCCTAATGACAATGTCAAAGATTTTGGAGTGTCCCATATCGAAACCCAAGCCGTTCTCGATCCATATATATACAACATCTTTGGGGTTTCCCCATTCATTGACAATGGATTTCGAGTTAGAACTCCAAATTTTTCGTGGCTCAATCTTCCAGCATTAATGTACGAGTATTTTATCGCATGCAATTATCATTGTCATCGATCAGTATTAATCTATCACCAAATCCTTATGTAAAATTATTGGCCGTGGACGTACGTGTATCATACATTCAAAACTTGTAGAACTAATTACGTACAGATCTTCATTGAGTAAGCTAAGCGTACCTGTTTGAGCTTCAAACTTTGAGCACAATCAAATTTTCAATCAGCAACAAGACGATATATATACATAAGATCAGAGGAATATCAGTGGTAAACAAAAGTAGTGAAGGTGAGTTGCGAGTTTTGTCAGCGAGGAAGGACATGTGGATCATAAGTGGAGTATCATGATCCTCTGGTATTTCCTAATCCCCAACATATATATATATATATGTATGTATATATATCACCTCAGCTAGGGAAGACAACAGAATTGATACTTTAATCAAACAAACATGCATGGTTCTTGGATCGTAGTTGGATTGAACGTAGTTTGGACGTGATGTATGTATAGTTGTTTTATAATGATATCAAATTGCCCTTGAAAGCAATATAATTGTTAGGGATTAAGACTTTTGAAGGGGGGGATTCAGTTGGTTGGTAAGGTGGGCTCAAAGTTTTTGTGAGCATAATTTTTCGGTTTCACATGTATATGGCATTATTGATATTCATGGATATTGCAAGTGATAATTCAGTAAATAAGAACTTTTTAAAAAAGAAAATTGGTAGCACGTTCGCACCAGTCATTTTTAAGATCGATGATTTAGTGTCATACTAATTATTAACCTGTGCGTGGGAGGAAAAACATTGGAAAGTTTAAAGATCAGTTAATTTAAGAACAAATTAATGAACTTATAACAGTAAGTAGCAAGAAGTAAGTAAATAACATGAGCTGCCCTTCTAAGTCTGAATGGTCAATGGCCAACGTACATGAGGCGTGTCAGACTGACTTGCTTAAAAGTTAACTCCATGCATACGTGTATGATGGCAGATATCATTATACCTTCAGGAGAAAAAAAAAAAAAAAGATTACATAATTAAATCATTATATATTCAAGATAAGAAAACAATATAAGAACATGAAACAATAGTTTAAATGTTTTCGAAATAAATATATTTGGCTCAAACTTGAATGAAGCAAAGCAAAAAATTTGATAACGTACTCATGAATCACTTTTACAAATAGATGATTTAGCATCAAACTAAATTATTAACCCTTGTGGATCGAAAATATAAGAAAGTTTAAAGATCAGTTAATTCAAGAACAAATGAGCTAACTGTGCGTACGTAGCAAGAAATAAGTAATAACACGAGCTATGTAATAAGCAACAGGAACGATGCCTTTTAAGTCTGCATGGTCAATGGTCAACGTGCATGAGGTGTATCAGACTGACTTGCTTAATTAAAAAAGATATGATTAATTAAATCATTATAAGTTCAGAAAGGAAGAAAGAAAAGATGGCTCAGTTAATCATTCAACACACGTGGAATAAGACCAGAGATTAGTCAGTCAGGCAGTCCAGCAAATTTTCAGTTTCTTATTTTCTTACTTTAGCAGCATATTCTTACGTTTAAATTTGGTCTACATACTACAATCTACAATTCAACATCGAACCAGTAACTTTGAACTTTACCAATGATATGGTTTCAACTGGTAAATCACTCATATCCCTCAATGAAACAAACAAATCACGCCTTTATATTCATGTTAATAGTTTTGCACATTTATAAGATGTTCTCTCGCTCCCAGGATGATTGTTCGATTTAAATTTTTATTTTTAATTGAAATTATACTAAAATAAAAATTAAAACTGGACAGATAATTTTAAAAGAGGGAATAGTTCGTTTGCAATGGGTATGGAACAGTTTTAAATCTTTTGGTTAATTGTTTTACCCATTAAGACACCTACAATTTAGTATGAGATTGGTCATTGTAATGGATGGCATGCTTGTAAAAAGATAGAAATAAAAACAAGTTTATCATGATAACGTGTGTAAGAAATATATACTCTATAGTAATTAACAAAAGTATGTTCCTAGCTAAATCATATCTTCTACTCCTAGGTTTTGTAGCAGTAATGTCTCAAATATCGGGAGTGAAACAATAATGCAAGGAGTGAAGTCAAGTTGACTTCATGTCTTCGACCCGGTATAAGTCACGTCATTACTATATGTAAAGGTTTTATATTTTAATTAGATATATAAACGGTGGTTCAGAGTCTTTGAATGTATATATTTCCATTTCACATGCATCTAATGCAAACAAACATATTGGCCTATAGCTAATGATAGTTTAATGAAAAATGATGCACGTACGTATGTCCTTTTCACGATCAATATTGTATTAATACTTCAGCATCAACCTCATTTAAAGAGCAAAACACATACATGTAACAAAATTAATATAATAATGCGAATGAAACATTGGTTTAATGATAACACTACCCTTGCTCTCAAGAGGAGGTCATGAGTTCAAATCCCCACTTCAACAAAAGTGAGAGAATGACTTTAACCTTATCAATTGACATCTCTAGAGGGCTTGTTATGGCAAACCCACTCATGAACTCCCGATTTTGCACCCCCATTTTGCATACAATGATGGCTTAATCAATTATTGATTCAATCACGCGGATTTTGCAAACAATGATGGCTTAATCAATCATTAATTCAATCACGTGGAATAAGACCGAAGATTAGTCAGTCAGTGAGTCATTACAATTTCTTTGCTCTCTACTTTAATATAGCATAAAGTATAAATTCAAGTCATTGGTCTAAAATTTACGTCGGACCACTAAGTTTGAAACTTTAATGATGTTATATTTTTCCGTTTCTCACTTTCAATTGGTAAAAAGATGCTCATATGATCTGCCAATGATCATCAAACACCACGTCCCAAGAGATGGGCCGGAATCAAACCGAGATTATCACGATGGTCCGAATGTGTCAATATTCGTTTAAAATCAACTCAAATTATGTTGTAAAAAATGATATAATAACAATAACAATGCATTTTCATCATATTGCATGTGAGTTCAAACTGGTTTACTTGTTCACCCCACCTGAGCATAAAATAACAACACAAAAACCAAAACAAAAGAAAAGGCGGGTTTAAGTTACGACAACAATGATGGGCCCCGGTAACAAGTGTACGTTTCCCTCTCTTCCAAAAAATTAATCTACTCTGAATTTTAATATTTATACTACTTTTAATACAAATTTAAAAATACAATATAAATTATTATTTTTTTTGTGACGAAGATAGTAATAATTTCTCTGCTGACTCTTTGGCCGAGAATGCAACAGTTTCTTGGGGATATACGAAACTGTCGGATCCTCCGCCTTTTGTAAATTAATGGCTTTTCTGTGCCATAATTGGGGTTTCATATCCCCAGTTTGTAATAGAATAGAACTAGACATTACGCCTCCATCTTTGTAAAAGAACAAAAAAAAGTCTTAAGGTGGATTCATGTTTTTTAAGTGGAAATAGTTAAATAACGCAAATAATTCCTTATAATTTCGGAGCAAAGCAAACAATATTGCGAGGAGCTGATCAAGAATTTGATCATTCATGTCTTTGATCGACTCCTAGTTGAAAATAATTAAATGGACTAATTACATGTGTTTGGCTGTGTCTACTTAAGTGCGGCATAATGTAATAGAGCTGAGATTCAAATTCTCGATTATTCGTTTAATCTTAAAACAATTAAAAAGAGTTGAATTTATGTTAGTTTTTTTCAATTATTCATCATTTTCATAGAATAAAAGAGAGTTGAATTCTATTGTTCATAAAATAAGAGAGGGTTGAAATTCCATTGTTTTTGGCAGTGTTTCTTTTCTTTTTTCTTTTTTTTGGGAAGACTAAAGACCAAATGTATGTAGTATAGTCCGGTTTCTTCACAAAAATGCAAAGTATGAAATTCTTAAATTAACGCTTGCAAGACGGAGAAAAACAAGTTTGCTTTGATTTATTACTTATCTTAGATTTTTGAGTCAAATAAAATCTAAAGCTTGATTTCCTTTTATTAACAATCTACTTTTATCTTTTTATTCGACCATTTCACCCGAACTATGTTATCACGTTGAGTGAGAAAGTGATCGATAGGTAGAGTTATATATGAACGAAGGGAGTAGAAATTGTTTTTTATGAGGAAAAAAAAAAAGAAGAAGATGTATAAATATGTAAAAGAGAGGGGAAAAGAAAAAAAAAACAGACAAGGTTTAACATGCAGATAATCTACGTGGAGGACCTTTTTATGCTTATCCAGACCCTCGTCACACTTTGGCTTGCATAAGTTTCCAAACTGGTCGACACAAAATTAACAATTGCCAAGACACCCATACGTATGAAAACGACTGCAACCGAAAATGAAACTTCAAAAAAGAAATAAAAATAAAATAACACTCTGAGACATGCATTATGATTATTATTATCAGAAGGAAGTTGAAAAAGAAAGTCTGAATTTTGTAACCGAAAAATGCAACTTCGGGGGTTGGTTGTGGGGGTCCATATATCTAGTTTAGTGATGCATGCTTTCACTCGGATTACAAAAATTCCACCAAATGCATATGCGTTATCCGAGATGACAACATTCGTTGTTTAAAAAAAGAACCCAAAAAAATTAAATAAAAATAATAAGATTCGAGGCTAGTTTGTTTTCACACGAAGCCGGTATAAAAGATCATTTCCGACTTGGCTATGGTCGCTCAAACTTGGCTGCCCTGTCTGACTGGTAATTTATTTCATTATTTAAAGCACTTCCCCACCGATAACGTTGAAGTTTTTAGTAACAAAATAAAGAAAATAAAGATATGATTTAAGTGGATTGAATTTTGAGCAATGATATTTAAAACTTAAGGTTAGTTCTACTTAATTATTTCATCCGTTTCGAAATTATTGTCAGTTTAGTACAATTTGTCGACTGTGTGCAAGAAATATTCCAATTATTTGGACGAGAAAAATAATGTTTAAAATATATATATATATATATATCTATTATAAGTAGAGATCGCCTCTCGCCTTCTTCCGTTATCTGACTTGCTGCTTATACATTTCTTTTTTAATCTTGTCTCGAAAATTCTAACATTTTAAATTATTTGATCGAATATTCGTGATCATCGAACCAGATATTTTGATGAACTTCACGAGCAACCAAGTTCCAAGTAGTTTATGACCTTCATGATTTTCTGGTAAATTTATATATTTTCATGTCCTGATTTCAAGACATAAATTTGTTTTAATATATAATATATATAACTGTACCCGTAACCCCCTAATTTGCAATTCACCCCAGGAAATGGAAAATTCACGAGAGCTTGTGCCAGTGAACATGAATTGCGCTAATCTACTACTCGAGATAATTATTGCAAAAGGATAGCTTCCAAAAGGATTTCTTTTTTTAAAAAAATAAAATAAAATAAATAATCAGGTTTTGTTACCTTTAATCTGAAGCATACAATTCAAAACCCCACGTTCGCAGTTAATAAACTAATAAAATAAAAGTCAAACATTATTGCAAGTTTGAAAATTTCGAGCATTCCTTCAATAATATTCCAGTCCATTCAAAGAAGATAATTAAAGAGATAAATATGCATTACTCCTTTAGTTCAAAAGTGAACTATTTTCTTAAATGAAAATTATACTTTTTTTTGTCTCTTATGATTTGTATGGTTTCTAATGAAAAATTGAGCCAATTATTTTGAGACGAAATAAATGCGAATCATTATTCTCTCTGTTAAAAAAAAAATAGTAATACACACGAAGTTTTGAAATTTAATGTTGATTTTTTTGTTTTTGACAGCAATAGTGTTAGCCAAGTCACACGCATGTCGCTTAGTATACAAGCTGAGCCGCCAGCCTCACAAATTATTAAGGACTTGTTTGGACAATTATTTATTTTAGTTTTTGGTTTAATTTTTGTTTTGAGTTTTAGATGTAATTTAAAATGTGATTTGAGATAAAATTTTAAAAATTATTTGTGTAATATTCTAAATAAAATAATAATATTTTTACACCATCACCGAACCACCTCCACGACCGGCATCACGCCGGACTGCCCATCGCCATCGCCGGACCGCCGCCGCCCAACTGGCTATATTCAGGCCAAATTACGGCCAACCCAATGGGCGGTTCGCCGGCGGACGGTGGCGGAGGCGGCAGGCGGGTGGTTGTGGATAAAAATTGTATAAACATAATATTTGAAATAAATTTTAAAAATTTGTTTAAGTAGTATTGAGTTTTGTGTTTGAGAAGTGTTTTAAGAGGTAAAATGAGACAAAAACAAATTAAAGGTTGGCCAAACAAGACTTTCTAGCGTAAAAGATACTATTAAAAAAACAATAATTGTCACCAACGAAGACCAATTAGGATGGGGACCCACTCCTAAGCTAAAGTCAAACTCACACTTTCAGGGAATTGTATGCGCCAGGTAGGATAACCTTTTCCGCTTTTTTCCTATTCCAAGTGGCAATTATAAGAGTTATCCATAATTCCCTATTTCCGATTTACTCCCAACTTTTTTCCAGTTTTTTGGTGTCTACTACGACTAGTAAATACAATCTTGCATGAATAATTTAGTGAAAAGAAGCCAATAAATTTGTGTTGTATGTGTCAATAAGGTTGCAATATAACGTTACACACGACTATCTAGTGGAAGTAGAATTTGTTGAAAATATCAGTAATATATATACTCAAATGTAATTTTACGCAATACACTATGTCAACTTTTTTGAAGTTTTTGACCATCTCCTAATCGTGGGGCACGCCTGCTCTTGGGAGTATATATATATATATATAAACGTTAATTAGTTGGCACCCTCCATCATCAAATCAAACTTGCCTTAAAATTTCACTCTCTTCTTATCTCTTTGACACATACAAAATTCTACAGCATAACACTCAGTTTGATTACCAGATAATGGGAAACTGTATGAATACCAACATGAAACAATCCTCCTTAATCTGGGGAGGAGACGACTGGGGATCTCCGTTGCCTGAAGAAACCGCGGGATCGGAGTTTTCCGGTAAAAGTTGTTTAAAGACCACCAAGAAAGCAGATCTTCAGGAGCAAGAAAACTCGATGATGGAGAAGGAGAAAGGAATCACATCATCATTTCATGATTCAAGTTCAACAAAAACGACCGGGTCGCCGACAGAGGTGAAGATCAAGATCACAAAGAAGCAGTTGGAAGAAATATTGAAGAAGGTTGATATTGACGCAAATGAAGGCCAATCATTGGCACAAGTTTTAACTCAGTTGATCAACTTGGGTAGTATGGATCCCGGGTTTCAAGAAGAACGCCCAAAGTCGTGGAGGCCTTCTTTGCACAGTATACCTGAATCTGAGGTGTACTGAGTTGATTTTATTAAGATTTTTTTTTTTTTCAAAAACCACAAGTACATATCAAAATCTTAGACAAAAGGCTGTGAATTTGTAGTTGATTAGGTCATATACGCCACTGTTGTTCATTTTCTTAACCCTCCTGATAAAAAAGGAAATGGCGGTGGTTGGTGTATGAAGGTTGTTTGATCCGTTCGTCTCTTAAGAATGGTCTGTCAATACAATATACAATATCACAATTATTTTAAGACGACGAGAATATAAATTTTGGGCCTTGTACTTATCCGAATGAAAAATATTTTGGTTGTTTCGGCTTTATTATGGGCTTTGTGGTGATGTTTCCATGGGACGAACTTGAAATGGCCTCTCCTCATGTGTTCAATGAACACAATTTTTAGTCATTCGATTTCGGTAATCTAGCTTAAGGCTTAAAAAGAAGCTGATTGAGTAAGATTGGCTGCGCAAAAAAATTGGATAACAAATCCGGCCGACGGTTGTGTTAAACTGTTAAGAACCGAACTAATCTTAAATTCCGTTTAAGAACACTAGAAAATTAATTACTATAGTTTGATTATAGGCTGCAAGCCTCTCAGTTTTGCCAAAAAAAAATATATCTTACTATATTAGAAACAAAAACTACACTTGAGCGAAAGCAACACCATTTGCCATGTGCCATTTTCACATCATATTTTTAAAATAAATTTTTATTTACACATCTTCTAGACTTAAAAGTCAAATGTAGTCTAAATCCACATCCACCTTCTATTTTCCCCAAAACAAAAAAAAAAAAAAAAAACACCACGGGTTCATAAAAAATCCAAATTCTCATCCTCATCTCCACGACAATCGACTCCCTAATCAATCCCTTCTCCACAATAAAAAAAAATCATCATCAATCATCAATTGAGAATATGTGGTGAAATATACTCATTTCCTGTTAGCATGTTTAATTTTTTCATTAGTGATGATCAACTGCATCCTAATCGGATAAAATTTCGATTTCAAAAAATATTTTCTTTACCTCTCTATATAAACACAAAGGAAAAAAAAAATTCTCATTGATCTTGCTTCGGCTGTTGTGGTGGTGCAATTACAGGTATTAAAATTTGAATGATTTTATTTTCACAGATCATTTTTTTGACTTTTATTATTTTTTGTTTTTTCCATTCAAGAATAGTGTTATTACTATTATTTTTATGCGTCCATCCGTTACAGCTACCGTAGCCGTTGTCAGGTAATATGATGTGATTTCTTATCTGGTTAGTTAGCCTAGAATTTCTGCATGATTTTAGTTCTGTTTGGATTGAATTGATTAATTTGATTTTTGTTACAAAGTGTAGTTTTTTAAATTTCTTTTTTATGTTTCATTCAATTAGAGTGGTTTTCTTTTTTTAATTATGGAGTCTCAGTTTTTTTTATATATGGTCAGTTATGAAGTGTGTTTTTTCTTTGTTTAATTATTTTTTATTTTGTTTCATACTCCCAGTTGACCAATTATTATTATTATTATTATTATTATTATTATTTTATTTGCAAATGAAGTGCATTTTTTTTTGTATTCGGGCTTTCAAGAATATACTTTTTTGGATTTGATTTTTGGAATTTTTTTAGTTCCTCATCATATAAATAGTTCAGGTCGCTTTTTCTAATTAATTTATGGGGAAGCCTTTTATGAATTTGAGATGGAAAGGGAAGGAAGGGTGTTTTTACGTTTATTTGTGTTTTTATACATCATTTTTACCTACAGAAAAAAGTAAATTCCTCAATTTTTAATGGGCTATCTTTTACTTTCTTTTTTCTTTTATTTACCATGGTGAGGTGAGTTCTTTTTTGCTATAATTTGAAACCTATGCAAATTTACATTATTTTCATTCTCATATTTGTGATCAACCAATTTCAACAATTAACCAGTTTCAAAATCATATTTTTGATATTTTGCTACCTGTAAACTTTTGGAAGAAATAGTTCCAACAATTAAGCGTATACTCTTTGGAGGAAGCTTACTACGAAGCTATTATATAAATCTCCAAAACCAAGTATTGATTTGGCACAACTAATGGCGAACATCAATAAATCATCTTACTAATATTTAAACTTATTAGGATGCTTTCATTTATTTCAAGACAAATATTTGATCAAGTTTATTTATATTTAAGAAGTAACACTTATAAAACATTTCTAAAATCTTCAAACATTTCTAAAACGTACCGGGCCAAATATAATTTCTTTTTATGCCAAATATAAACATTTCTATGATTACACTTATAAAACATTTCTAAATTCTTAAAACATTTCTAAAATATATCGAGCCAAATACAAATTTTTTTTTTCCAGATACAAATATTTCTAAGATCTACAGATATATTGGACCAGGGTGCACGACCAGACATTACTAGTATATATATATATATATATATATATAATAAAATTAATTACTAGTAAAACACTAGGCATTCATTCCACCCATATGGATAATGAACCCCAAAAAAAAAAAAAACGATACAACAAACCTAATACTTTTCTTGCTCCAAAATTAACCATTTTTTAACGTTTCAATATATTCTTTACAGACTTAACAAAGACTTTCCCAGCGGCCAGAAGGAGAGTCGTTGGTCATCAAAATTCAAACCCGTGCTGCTCATTTGGTCGCCTCCTCCATCAACCGCAACACTTCTTGGCCTTTATCATTAAATTCTTATATTTTAGGATAAAATTGAAATTTCAATTTTGAACCCACTTTTTGGGCGGAAAATCAAATCCCTGACTTCAATTCAAAAGTTTTCCGAACCCAAAAACCATGATGAATCTTCCACCAAATCCTCGCAAATGGCTGATATTGAACCTCCCCCCTCCTCCTTAGGGTTCGATGATCTGGACCACGAATCGGAGCTCCAACCAGCTCCACCATCTAGATCATCGACCGGGGAGCCGGTATAAGCTCAGATGACGATGAACGCGATGATTTTAATACGCTGCCGATGAATTATGGCGCTCGATCATCGGAACCCGCCCCAATTAAACGCATGCGATGTCATGTGGCCCCTCATTAACGGCCCTTTTTAGGTTGGTATCGAGTTCCTCTTGTTTTTCCATAACAAATTAATTCAAATTCAGTGATAAATGCTTTGGAGCGGTTTGATTGACATTAGGAAATTCAAGTGCAGTTGAGGACACTAATTTTCATTTTATTTTTTATTTTTATTTTTTTTTTAGAAAACAACATAATTTAATCAGTCAGTTTTTGCTGATTATTTCAGTTTTGGCATTGTTGTCACTCAATTTCTGGCTACGAGACTAGAGAGATACTCCCTCCGTCTCGTAATTATTGTGCAGTTTGAGTTTTTCATTTGTAGTTCAAATTGTACTAAAAGTGAAATCTCAAACTGGACAATAATTTTGAGACAGAGGGAGTATGATAAAATGGTTTATTTTACTGTAATTTTTTTGAACATCCGCTTTGTTGAGCTATAGAGCTGGAAATCCGGGTTATCTGAGGTTTTGAGAAGACATGACTGTATGAATTTAGGAAGTTTAGGGCTAGTGGTCGTCATCATTTGCAGCCGAGAAAAAAAGAATTGTACAGAATGTGGTGCTGTATTCATATTTGCTTGGTTTAATCTGGATTTTTAGAACTGTTGTTTCCTCTACTATTGGATTTTCCAGAAGTGAACTTGCACTATGGTGATACTTAACGATGGACAATTTATAATTCTTGTGCTGAACTTAAAGACTTCTGACTGACATTCTTGCTTGTTCTGGTGTCTAAGTGGAGCCTGTCCCTGATAGCAGCAGCATCAGATAAGTTGTACTAAATATTATGTGTCGTGATCTTTTCAGGTGCAACAATTTGATTACTAAGGAAAGACATATTATCTCCTTTTGCTTATTCTTCACTTGCCATGACAGACAATTCTTCAAAGGAATGCTATTCTCTCTGCGGTAGTTCAAAGTTCTTTTTGAATGGGCACTGCTCTCACGTCTTCACAATCAGCAAAACAGTTGAATGAGATCTAGAGTATAAACTTGTTGAACTCCTCGGATTCAACAGATAAAGAAGTCCGATGCAATAATTTAGCCTTTTTGGAGTCACATGTTAGCCTCTTAAGAAGTTTCAGTTGATTGAATCTGATTCTGATGAAGGGATAAATAAAGTACATTTGCCTTCTAATGGTAAATTTACTTTTCATGAAGTTGGAACCTCTGCTGAATCGAAGAAGGCTATTGCTCCAGATATTATGGCGCCAACAAAAGATATGTGGGAAGACATACATTCTGATTGGAGCTTTCGCATTCCATCTCCAGCTTTGGATGAGTTCCGTGAAGAGTACTCCATATCTGTCAAGTCTTACAAGTTTGAGAAAGTATCTTTTGTATCCAGCAATTTAAGGAAAAATGAAATGGAACAAATAGCAACCGGTCCTCCTCATCCTGCGTATTCTTATTATTATCACGAGGATTCAAGGATCTTAGAGCTTGTTAAAGCCCGTTTGCCCCATTTCTTGCCATTGTTCTGCGTAAACAATCAAGGGCTTAAACAGCATAGTGCTTACAGAATTGATTATATGTTTCAATGTGTTAATTATGATAGGTTTGATGTGTACTTTTGCTAATGGGACAAACTGCTCATTTGTATTACCAGGAGCCAGTTCAACTACAGGCTACAGCCTTCCAAGATTCAACAATAGCGGGGGCTATGATTGTGATGAAGATCAAAATACTCTAAAGCAGCTAGAGGATTTTTGAGCAAGGTAGAATATTGCAAATAATGGGCAATCATTGAAACAATTTTAACTCATTTGATGAGCTTAAGTACTATGTGTCGTGGATTTAATAGAGCACAGCAGAAGTAATGGATGCCTGCCTCGCACAGCATTAAACTGAAGAAGATTTGAAAAGTGTCTTCTCTTTTTTTAATTTCTTTTGAGCTGCAGAGTACATATAAAATATTAGACAAAGGCTGTATATTAATAGTTGATTAGGTCATGAGGCCACTTTCTTCATAACTTGATCACACTGATAAGTCTATTGGTTTGGCCATGATTATGAATTGCGGCCATATTTCTGGCTGCTTTGGGTGGTATTTCCTTGAAGAGACGAGGTTTTGGACTTTGGTGATGAACGTTGTGTGGAGGTTTCCATTTTTTTAGCAGCTTATTCCCTTGACGCCTGAGCTTGGGATTGAAGTTGGTGAAGGAACAATTTTCTGCCAAAATGGATGATTTTGCTTTCCATTATTGATCTTTCTTGTACCATTTCCATATCTGCTTGATTGCATTCCCTTGGTGATAATGTTACGGGTCGACCATAATGAAGTCTCCTGTTACACCTGAGTTTGCAGCATTGGAGGGTCTGCTGCTTATTACCATTGGCTATGGAGATCATTTGATGTACAGTTTTGATTCTTAGCTGCTTGCTGAGAGAGTGAGATTGCAAGTTAGGCATGGATGTTTCGGCTGTTTATAATGGTGTGCTGTAACTGTCATTTTCATTATTTGATATCTTGGTGATCATCGGCAATGACTTCATATCTGCCGGATTTATCTACCACCAATCTAACTTCTCTCCCCTTTGATTTGCCTTGCATCTGAGATTTGATTTGACACATCGACTAGTGTTGGATTGTATTTGAACAAATTAAAGTTGATTATTAACATTAAAAAGCAAGAATGGTAAGTTCAAATAATGATGTAATCCCTTCGATGCCATCCGATTCCCCAGAAACATTTTCACTATTAAATACTTTAATTTCCTCATTTACTTTTTGTACAATCACCAAAGTAAATAAAATGGGATGTACGAGATATACATAATTTAACTTTGAATCGTATGCAATGTAATAGATTAGTACCTTTAACATAATAAAACAGGTACTTTTAACAAAAAAAATAATAATAATGATGTAATATGCACGTTTCACCAGTAGTATATAATTTATACTATCAATTATTGTTTGGTGTTAGTTTGAGAATATTCATGTTTGTACCACCATATTTGTCAATTAAATTGAAGCCTATTGATAATAACATATAAGAAAGCACAATTTTCTTTTTATAATTTGGCACAACTTCTAGAAAATAGAAGTATACTAAGAAAAGGAGGGGTAGAAAAGGGAATGGAATTTTAATCCTACCTTGGATGGATGGGCCCGTTCTATTGCTACTGGTTTTACAAGGAAAATGAGAAGTCGGCTGAAAATTGAGCGCCAAAATTTCAATTTTGGAACCCCTATTTGGCGGAAAAACCAATTCGTGACTTCATTTCAAACCCAAACCCACGAATCTTCCACTTCACACTTTCGCAAATGGCTGATATTGAACCTCCGTCCTTCTCCCTAGGGTTCGATCTGGACCTCGATTCGGAGCTCCGACCGGCTCCAGCACCCGCGCCAGAAACTTCAACCAGAAATAATTTCGGTAATCCAGCAAGAACATCGTCCCGGGTGACCTCTCTAGGTTCGAATGCCGACGAGGATGATGATTTTGAAACGCCACCGGTGGGTCATGTCTCTCGAACGTCGGAGCCACCAGCTTCAACTCTTAAACGGCTGCGTCGTGGCCCCGCATTGACGACCGAGAGACCGCAGCCCAAGGTGGACAACTTCTCTGTAGAAGATGACATAGAAGAATTTTCTTCCCAGGAAGATGAGCCTCCAGGTAGTGATGTCGTTAATTTTTATCGCTTCCTTCTTTAATTTTTTGATTATTTCATTCACTTTGTTACAAATTAGTCAATTTCTGCTTCTTTGTATCGTCGTACTAAATTTATGGCTTACAGATTAGAAATTTTAGAGTGCGTAATTGTAGAAATTTCTATGTGAAGCATCTGCCATGTTGAATCAAAGAGGAGTAGAAGTTTGGATTAGCTGAGGTTTAGATAATATCCAACTGTGACTTTAGGAATTGTGGGACTGGTAGTCATGGGTTGCAGCAGAACGTGATTGTACATAATTTGCTGTCTTGTTCATTTTAGCTAGGTTTAGTTCGTCTACCATTCAGTTCTGCATCTGCAACTTGTAGTCTGACTCTTGATTGCTATTTGTGAGTTTCTGGTGAGACCTTAGTTAAAAAATTATGTGTTATGGTGTTCATGATCCTCAGTCTATTGGTAATTTTGCTGAACCTGAAGATTCCTTACTGCCATTCTCACTTGATTGTTAGTATCTGAGGATAGCCTTTTACTCTCATCCTAAATATTTCGTGTGGTCATTTTATTAGTCGTAACTATTTGATTGCTAACAAAAGATATCTTGTCACCGTTGCTAATTCTTCACTGACCATGACAGATGATGTATCAAAGTATCACCATTCTGTTTGCAGCAGTTCAAAGTTCCCATTGAATGGTCACGGCTCTCATGTTTTTCTGGCCTCTCAAGCTGCAAAACGGTTAAATGAGACCAAGAGCAAAAACCAGGGGAGTTCTTCAGCTTCAATAGATAAGGAAGTCAGTGGCAATAAAGTACTCTTTCCCGAGTTACATGTTAGTCCTCTTAGGAGGTTTCAGTTGATTGAATCTGATTCTGATGAAGCTTCTCCTAGTAAGGGTCCCAGTGAAGTGATTAATAAAGTAAGTTTACCTTCAAGTGGTCAATTCACCTCTTGTAAAGTTGGAACCTCTGCTGAATTGAAGAAGACAAAAGCTCCAGAAATTATGTCCCCAGCCAATGATCTGTGGAAAGAAATAAGTTCTGATAGGAGCTTTCATGTTCCAACTCCAGCTCTGGATGAGTTCTGTGAAGAGTACTCCAGATCTTTAAACAATAAGGGCAAATCTCTCAAGTTTGAGAAAGCCTGTTATGTATCCAACAAGTTAGGGGAAAATGAGGGGGAACAAATTGCCTCAGGTCCTCCTCACCCGGCATATTTGTATTATTATCACGAGGATTCAAGGATCCAAGAGCTTGTTCGCACCCGTTTGCCCCACTTTTTGCCCTTGTGCTGTGTAAACAACCAAGGGCTTAAACAGCAGAATACTTCCACAATTAATTACACGTAATGTTATTCTATGTGTGAATTTCATATTAACCTTGGTACGTACTTCTGCTAGTGTGTTGAACTGACCATTTTGTATCACAGGACCCAATTCAATCACAAGGAAGCATCTAAACAAGGTAAAAGGAACCAGAATATCGGGTCAAGTTCAACAAAGTCACGAAAGAATGCAAGAAAATCAAGTGCTGTAGATGTACAAGAGGAGTCTGACAGCTGGATTAATCCTAGAGTTTCTAAAGAAACTACAAAAGATGCTGGGAAGAAAAGGGTCCGTGGAGTTGAATCTGCTGGTCATTGGTACACTGGCCCCAATGGAAGAAGAGTAAGTGCATCAACATAGTTCATGTCTAATACTCACACATAAATAACAGTTTTTGCATAGTGCTTCTATTTTAGCGCATAGAGTTCTATAGTCTCTTATGTCAATTCATTGTTACCTGTAGGTGTATGTAACTGGAAATGGGCAGGAGTTGTCTGGTCAAGCTGCTTATAGACGATACAAAAGGGTACGTTCTTTTCATGTTCTTGCATCTGTGCTGTAACCTACTGAGTTTGAAGAGTTGCTTTTTTAATGCTTTATCGATGTAGTCTTTCATTACTTCTCAATTGTGCGAGCTGAACCTTGTTGAGTTATCCTCTCCACACAATGGAATACTGGGTTTAAGTTGTGGAGTTGGATGTGCATGTCATGTCGGTAATATGGAAGTTCTGGAACGATATTCCAGTGTAGGATTTACATCCTCTACTCATATTGTAAGCACGATTTCATACCTTGTGAACATATGTTGTGCAGGAAAGTGGAGGTGCTTTCAAAAAATCCAATAAGAAAGCAGCTTCAAAGAAAAAGTCTGGTAAGAAGAAACGAGGGCATTCATGCACCTAATGACTCCATTGGTTGGTAAAAATGAAGATCAACATGAATTGCAATTTAGATCAAATGGCAGGCTGCAATTTTCACCTAATCCCGGATGACTTTCGGGTTAGTGCTTTGATCGTCCTATTACCTTAGAGGTTTAAGGTCTGAGTGATTTGATTGGACCTTGATGCTTGTCCTGAAATGATTTCTTACAATTGAGTGATACAATTGAAAGGCAATCAATCTTGTGTAAATAGAGTTACACCATAAAGGGATTGTTGCCATTGTGCAAATAATTGTTAACGAGAATAAGACGCAAGAGAAGATAGCACTCCGGAGGACATGATGTGATGAAGAACGAGCGTAGGACATGGCAGTGACCAAGATTGTGTTCAAACTTTTAGACTCGTGTGAGATGATTTTTCGTCCCAATTGGCAGTTCAACATATTGATCATTTTGAATACTTGAATTTAGCGTTATGCATTGGCTAATTAAACAATTGCCTACAATCTATATTTTTATAATAATCTTCGAAAATTCATGTCGAAAAGTTAATGTCATTGTGTTAGGAAATGCATTAATATGCGGAGGCATGTGAAAGGAGGCGATTTTCTATGTTGTGAATCTTAGATTGTGAGTCTTTGGGGGTTTCTCCCCGATATAGCCAATATACGAGCACAGGCCAACACTTGTGAACCATTGGAAGGGGTCAACGAGCAGTGAATAAGAACTGGTGGTACCTTATAAGATTATAAATTTTAGTAATCGCATTTTAAATTTCATTGGTAGCAGAATACAGCATACCCTTCTTTATCCAGGTTAAAAAGGTTGTAAGAAAGTGTCAACGTGCTGATTTATGATTGCGGACACCCCTATTTAAGAGGAAATTTGAACAATAACCATGTTAATGGGAGAGTATTGGATTAGTATAATGTGTGTATCATGTTAAGTAAATTGGGAGTATCAATCACCTCTTCTACATGCATGAGTCCAACAGGATGTTTTTCCTCTGGGGCATGTGATACAACGTGGGACGTTTTTCGTCAAAAGTCATTTCCTTCGGAATAACTAAACACGATGAAACCGCAAACACATTGTCGCTCGATGTTTTTGCTTAATTGAGACTTTGATTGATGTTAAAACACGTGTCAGAGTACACTAATTTGACTTTAACTCTTCTCTAATTAAATTATCTAGCTAGAACACTTTTTAGTCTCACTTCATTTTGTTAATAGTACGATAGTATTAGACTATGAAAGTAAGACGGAAAAGGAGTTTGCGTTGGCTTTAATGGAAGCAAAGTTAAAATTGGATTGTCATTGACTTCAGTGTCTGGTTTGGAGCGAGGGATCAGTAGATGATGATCCCTTGCTTGAATATAGATACCTTGTGAAAGAATCTAGTAGAAATTTTTTAATGGGCAGCTTCTTCTGAAGAAGGTCCGACACCCTCTTTTAGAAAAATAATATCACCAGATCCGAGTTCTAACATATGTACACATTCAGTAGACTGGATGGCGTTCTTCATTTTTGTCTAATTCCTTCAAAATATAAAAAATACGACCCAAAAAGCTCATTCTATCTTCTTCTTCGGATTCTCGTACAAGGTTCACATGTACTACTACTACAAGTCCACAGCCTATGTAGCAAGCATCTTGGTACGAGGCTTGCCTAGAATGCATATTGCGAAAGAGCAGTGATATGAATAGGAAAAAATTGCAAGAAAATTTTTTAAGGGATAACGCGTCAATCATTAAAACTATCTCTTAATCTTAAATGTTTAAACCTCAAGTCGAAAACATAAAAAATAAATGGTTATGATCATTCTTTGTTAGTTTTCTTTGTAAAATTTTCCCTTACCAAATTATTTTCCATTGCGAAAAGGGTGGTGAACCGGGGTTTCCAATGTCGGTTCGAGAGTTTGGAACGTGTGGGATGCTTGATTGCATTAGCCACGTGGGAAACACCCCCCTCTCCTTGGATGCTTTTTCTCTTCAATGTCTGCAATAAAAAATAGCCCCCCTCACAACCGTCAGAGAACCCTCAATTAGATGTTCATAAGGGATCATTTGCAGGCAAACCGCCAAATACCGGGCCGTAAATTTTCATTATCATTCTTCCACGTGAGCCACTGGGGGGTTGTCCATCACTTGATCCAACAGAACCCAATGAAAGAAAAAATAAACTTAAAAAGAATGAATATCATTTTAGTTGAACTTCTTTGGCGTGCATGAATGAATGATAATTCATTATTAATTCGAGTCGGTTTCAATTCTTTTTACCATGAAAGAAAAAGGCAAATGACACACTAGTGCGGGTGTACAACACTAGTTACGGTTCTGTCACAACCACAATTTGACATTTATGTTTTTTTTTTTTAATATAATGAAGGAGGCAAATGACCGAAAAACTATGATATTACAGCCTTAGTATGAGATGCCAAATAGGTCATATTACATTCAAGGTTTGACATTTATTGTTTTTTTTTAATACAATGAGGGAGACAAACGACTAAAAGACGATGATATTACAGTCTTGGTATGACATGCCAATTAGGTCATGTTACATTCAAGGTTTTACCGCAGCTGTTCTTCTAAATGCATCAAACCTCTAGTGCTCGAAAACTAAATTAGTACTTTGAAATGCAACAGACCTCTAGAGCTCGAAAAGTTAATCAGTACTTCGAAGAATTCTCTCGGAAAGTTACTTCTAACAAAGTTATATATCCATCTCAAAATTAGTTACTTTGGAACATATTTAGGAATTCATTCATTGATCCCTTTGGACAAGACAAATAGACAATCACGCACACCAACAATCTGATCGATGACCACACTCCCGAACCAAAGTGAAGGCTTGGGGCAAGCTCATTCGAACAATGCATTAAGTAAGTTGGGAAGACGAAAATAGTTTGGTGGGTGCTATTGTTTTGCAACCAATCATAACACAAAAGCGCGAAAACACTTAAATCATCAGAGCAATTAAAGGTTATGAATTAATTAGGTCTAACATGAAATTGAACCGCCGAAATTAACACAAAAATAGGTGATCACCCAACATCATGCATAACCTAGTTATATCTAATCTAGTGTGTTGTGTTGAAAAAACGGGTACACCTGCTCCATGATTGCCTTTTCTTTTCTTTTCTTCATCATTATTCACAAGCACACAAACTGTCTACTAATAAAACTGTTATATGTGGTATACAATAATCGATTACTTGGCCGATCCCAAAACCAAGTAAGCATTTGCATAGTGCATACCACCACCTCTCGCAGTCTCAGTGGAGGAATTGATACTGACCAATTAAGAGCATTTATTTTAGCAATGCTTACTCTAATTTTACTGGAATTACTACTACAAACTAGTAGTAGTAATAATAACAGATGGGGTTTTTTTTTTTTTTCCGATAACTATAACAGATGGTTTTTATTTTTTATTTTTTTTATTTTTTGATCAAATAACAGATGGTTTTTATTAGTACTATTAGGTTTGTTGCTATAAATTGTGACACTGAATTCTGCGGTTATATTGTACTACAACTACTAGTATTAACGCAACAACAGTGATTGTCTTATAACTTTACTGTGTGAAAGTGTGGACTTTTCAATTTCATATCTCTGCATTGCTTCGTCACGCGCTCCTTGGAACCGTTGAATTCGCATTTCTCAATAATTTTGATTCACATGTATGATATGAGTCATACGACCCTCCGGTAAAAAAATTTCTCGGTTTTTTTACTTGGCATGTTATTTTCCGGATTCCCAATTTCTTAGATTATGAACTAGGAGTCCGTCCCTTTTTCCGGGTTGATGTTGAATTACTTTTCTCGTCCCCACACTCCTATGAAGTATGCACTATGATACTCCCTCCACTTTTTTTATATGTCTTTTTAGAGAATTCATCAAAATCAAAAAATTATTAAATAATATCATTAAAATATAAAAGTATCTTTATTTATTTTCTATACAATTCATCACAAACTAATAAAAATTCATTATAAATATTGTTTCATTCCTAATGCAGGAGTAACATTAGTAAAAAGTGGTCAAATGTGCCTCGATTTGTGAAAACGACATATATTTAAAAAAATTCACCAAACCCTAAAACGATATATATTTCAAAATGGAGGGAGTAATTATTAATTGATGGAGGGAATGATAAATTTTGCATGAATTCTTTTGGTTATCTCCTAGTAATAATATACATTGATTGCATTTAAAAGATAAGAATAATGAAATTCAGCGATAAAGACTGGATCCCAATAATTTAACGCAAATGGCTGTTGAACCATACTTAAAATATTGTTAGTCCAACATAAAAAATTGCACTAATGAATAATGACATACAAAATCCAATTTTAAAATTGCTCATAAATAATTCTTTGAAAATAAAATTTCCACAGACAACCAACCAAAATGGAATAAACCCTCTAGTATGTCCAATTTACATGTTACAAATGTGATGAGAGACTCTATTTTCCATCAGATCAAAACCATTCATACCTATGACGGATTTACTACTTGTATTCATTTTCTGCAAGTTATCTAACAAGGATTATTTTGTACAATTGGAAGCTTCTTATTGAGAAAAAAGAACTCGATATTACACCTTCAATTAGGTCACTTTGATTTAATGTTTAACTCGTGAAATTGTACTAAAAGTGAAATCTCACATTAAACAATAATTTTGGGACAGAGTGAATATTTTAATTTAGGAGAAACATTTACAAGTTCTTATGGTTACGTTGTACGCGCCATAACGGTGGGTTTCCCCGGAAGAAAAGAAACGACTTTGGCGCAATTCAATGAATCAATACCGAGAGACCGTCACAATGACATATTGACATTATCAATACCTTTTGAACGGCACCGTTTTACGTGACGCAACCCCAGGTTTTACTGTAATAGAAGACGTTGACCGTACAAATCTACCCATGTACTGCTTCTTCTTACTCCCCCCACTCCTCCATTGCCTTACTTCTTTCCTCTCTTCAGCTCAACACTAATTCTTTTGCTCCGTCAAGAATCCCCTCCACAACATTATCCAGAAATACCAGTTTTCATTCTTCAGAAGAGGAGGAATTTGAAGAAAGAAAGTGAAAATCCCAGTATAATACTCTGTTTTTTTATTTTTTATTTTATTTTGTTCTGTTTTGTTGGGAGTTGTGTAATGGGTGAATCGGGTTGGAGAGAATGAAGATCACCGGCGGCGGCAGGGCTGAGCTCCAGGAGGGTCAATCTTCGAGAAAGTTGAACCCTTTTCAAACTTCAGATCTTCTCCTTGGGAAGCCCGTCAAGTCAGTGGTAAAGCCGCCTCGCCGGAAAAGTAAGGGTTCCGGCAATGGAATGCGGTTGAAGAAGGACTTAGCGGGGAAGAAGAGTAGCAGACCGGAGACGCCTTTGCTCCGATGGAAGTTTGACGAAGGGAGGGATGACGAAAATGAGGTCAGTAAGGTTGAGGAGGAGAAGTTATCGCCGGAGGAGGGTGCCCGGAGAAATGGCCGGAAAGTTAGAGCTTTGGTGTCTTCCAGGAAGCTTGCTGCTGAGCTATGGAGAATGCAGCTGCCGGCGGTGCCCGCAGACGGCGGTGAAAAGTTAGGGTTTCAGGTAGTGTGATCTCCATGTTTGATCCTTGAAATGTGGTCTGATCGATTGGGGAGTAATAATAGTAAATATGACCTCTTTTGGAGCCTACAAGTGGAATAATAGATCAAGTACTAATCTTGCCTTTGGCTGTCATAAATTAACCCTTCAGCTGTGGTTGGAGATGCTTTAAGAAGCTTATGTTTGGTTGTTAATTTCTAGATATGCATTTGATGAACAAGTAACTACCTTCTCCAACTCCTAGGAGTACTGAAAGCATTTATTCATCTTCAGATGTGGCTGTCATTAATGAATTTGATTTACCCATAGGTTTCCTTTTTATTTGCTACCTTCTTGAGCTATGTGAATTAGTGTAAAGAATCTTTGTTTGTTGCTGTGATTGCTTATTCCTCTATTTCACGTGTTGGTGGATGGTCATACAAGTCTTTAGCCAAAAGATGGGAATGTAGAGACATCTGATTTGTTATTGTAGTTGTAGAGTTTAGATCTAGTTTCTATTGCTTCTTATTGCCTGTTGTCTTGTAGTCTGCAGATAAGTACGTTGGGGTCCGCTTTCATGGCCAACCTAAGTGCAAAGTTCATGATTTAGCAGCTAAGGATTTGGTTTGGAGTCCCCAATCCGTTAATGGTCCAAGAAACGGATATTTGTCTAAGGTATTTGTTGTCTGTTTGATTTTGTTTCTTTTAGTGTTTTAATGGCTACTGGTACAAGGTTGATAAAAAAATACATAATATAGATGAAATCTGGACCATTTTGTGAGACATAGCTATTTAGCATCATTAGTGCTAAGGGCTACTCTGTTCACAAGTATGGTGGGCATCTTTCCCAAAAGAGTAATTGATTCTCTTTAATGTCAACAGAGCAATGACTTAAAGTAACCTTCAAAATGCTTACGATATAACAGATATCAGTTTCCGCTCCCATTTGTTTATTAACTGTTTGGCCGTGCTTTAGATTAGTCTCATTTTGTAAGGGAATGAAATTTTATTTAGGTTGAGACCTCGTTGCAACTTTCAAATCCTGCCATGGAGGGTGCGACAAAGTGGGATCCTGTTGGCTGGAAAACATCAAGTGAAGTAGGGCCGAGTTTTGAGAAGCAAAAGCACTCTGATAATGAAGCAAGAACTTCGGCGTTGATATCTGCTCTTCAGACAGAACTTGAGCAAGCTCGATCACAAATTCATGAGCTTGAATCGGAGCGAAGGTCATCAAAAAAGAAACTTGAGCACTTTCTAAAGAAACTCAGTGAAGAAAAGGCTGCATGGCGTAGTAGGGAACACGAGAAAGTTCGTGCAATTATTGATGATATTAAAGCTGACCTGAGCAGAGAAAGGAAAGGTCGCCAAAGATTGGAAATTGTTAACTCAAAGTTGGTCAATGAGTTAGCCGAGGCCAAGTTAACAGCAAAGCGCTATATGCAGGACTATGAGAAAGAACGGAAGGCCCGGGAATTAATCGAGGAAGTGTGTGATGAACTAGCAAAGGAAATCGGAGAAGACAAAGCTGAAGTTGAAGCATTGAAGCGGGAATCCATGAGACTCAGGGAGGAAGTGGATGATGAGAGAAAGATGTTGCAGATGGCTGAGGTTTGGCGTGAGGAACGGGTTCAGATGAAACTAGTGGATGCTAAGGTTGCTCTTGAAGAGAGGTACAAGGAAATGAACCGGTTAATCGCGGATCTCGAGTCTTTTATGAGTTCAAGAGGTGCCATACAAAATTCCGAGGATATGAGAGTGGCAGAGATCCTTAGACAGGCAGCCACCTCTGTGAATATCCAGGATATCAGGGAATTTACTTATGAGCCCCCGAATTCAGATGATATCTTCTCTGTATTTGAAGACGTGAATTTTGGCGATCCCAGTGAGAGACAAATTGAACAGTGTGTTGCATATAGTCCTGCTAGCCATGCGACGAAAATTCATACTGTAAGTCCTGAAGCTAATAATCTGTTTAATAAAGACAGACATGCTAGTGCTTATGTGGATCGGAGTGGCACTTTAGAAGAGGAGGGAAGTGAATGGGAAACTGTGAGCCATCCCGGGGATCAGGACTCTAGTTACTCACCAGACGGAAGCGATCCATCGGTCAGTAAACATCACAGAGACAGCAATGTCTCCTTAAGTGGTACGGAATGGGAAGGAAATGCATGTGAAGGAACTCCAATAACAGAAATTAGCGAAGTCTGTCACGTACCCGCTCGCCAACAACTGAAGAAGGTCTCTTCGATATCAAGGCTCTGGAGATCGTATCCAAGCAATGGCGATGATTACAAGATCATTTCCGTCGATGGATTGAAAGGAAGACTTTCCAATGGACGGCTTTCAAATGGCGTTTCGGTATCTCCCGACCATGGTTCAGGTAAAGGAGGGCTCAGTCCACCGGATTTAGCTGGTGAGTGGAGTTCGCCTGAATCAGGAAATCCTCACATAACGAGAGGCATGAAGGGTTGCATCGAATGGCCACGCGGCGGACAAAAGCACAGTCTCAAATCGAAACTGCTGGAGGCCAGGATGGAAAGTCAGAAAGTCCAGTTGAAGCATGTTTTGAAGCAGAAGATATAGGTAGACACAAATTCCTCGGAAGGCTTCGCCTTCCGGGCCGGGCAAAATTCGAATTTATTGCCGTATTGAAAACTACTTGGGAAAGTAGTGATCAACCTGTCCATAGATGCTTGAGGCGAAGAAAAAATTGATTCGGAATTCTGATTGTGCACCACTTCAAGTACTAGACCTGGCGAAGATCAACAGCTACTGGAGCAGTAAATTAATAGCTTTTCAATTTGCTCTACGGAGTTACTGGAGCAGTAGTAATTTGTACTCCTAGACATTATTTATGTACCCCCAACTGCTCAAGGCAAGTTTAGCATAAATGTAACAGTTCTACTCCTCTTTCTCATAAATCCATTCAGTCCATATTTAATATCAGCTCGTTTCTAAATTTTGGGACTTTTTTTCACAGTCATTGATGTTGTAAGTTGTAACCTTAAAAAAAGCAGAAAAAAGAAGGTGAAACAAAATTTAATACTCCCTCCGTCCCATAATTATTGTCCAGTTTAGGTTTTTAGTTCTAGTTCAAATTATATTAAAAGTGAAATCTCAAACTGGACAATAATTTTGGGACAGCAGGAGTACTCCTTACGTCTCAAAATAAATTTCTAATTCATTGATGTGAGAAATATGTCTAGTTACATGATGCAAAATAAATTTCTAATTCTTTGTAGTGAGAAATGTGTCTAGTAACATGATAAAGATACCAAAGTTTGAACCGTTGCTACGTGATATCTCATCCATGTACTAATTGCGTGTAGCAGGAAAGAAATTTATTTTGGAAACCAAGTGAAACAATTTTTAATGAGCTAAATGATTTTCCATCAATGATTTTCCTAAACAAACAATTTTGATGACCAAACGCGGTGTAAAGTAATCTGTAAAATATTAAAAAAAAAAAATAATAAATCCAGGTAGACGTTGCTGAAGAAGTTCACATTTCTTTTGTAGGCGCCAGGAATCTGTGTGGCTCATCATCATAACCTGTAGCCATTAATCGTGCGAAAGTATCAAACTTTATTCAGATTCAGCTATGATTAATTGATTGATTGATTTCCTTTCTCTATACATACACACAGTGAAGGGAGTTTAACGATACGATATTCCCCGTTGCAAGCAATCCTTTCAAAGGTGACTCTTTTTCATCTTTCTTGGGGCGTTTTTACTTGCTTTCTGTTGTCAGCGCATTCATCTCATACGTTATCTTTCTGAATAAAACAGTTAAGTTACTTCCAATTGAAGCAATTATTGGCTTGTAGATCTAGAACTTGTATTTCTTACCTGTTCTGCTGATTAAAATCTGTTTCTTTGTGGGATTTTCATTTTTTCCCCCAAGAAAACTTGATTTTGGTTCTGGGTTGGTATTCTTTTGGGAATTCCAAATACCTTAGCTTTATCTGTTAATCAGGACGTGGGGTTTCAGTTTCTTTAAAGAGTATGCTCACAGTGTCTTGTGTTCTTCTTTTATTGATATCTTGAGCTGATTAATTCAATTCTGAAAGATTGGGTCTCTCATTATTGTTATTGTTCTTTTGCTGTCGGGATAAAATTGGGTACTGGTCAGATTTTGAGTTGTTTATGACTCCGAAAGCTTTTCAATGTTATGTTAAGGTTCAACTGATTGATAATGTTTTGATAATCAATTTTCTGTAGTCCCGTAATGTTTATTGCCATTTTTGTTTAATCAGTTTCAGGGTTACTGTTATTCTTTACAATGGAAGGTATAGTGGTCAGGAGGGTGATTCCTTCGGATAATAGCTGCCTTTTCAATGCTGTTGGGTGAGACTCTCTTTTCTTTGTCCTTTTTGTTTTAGTTGATTGAGGCTATCTGGTTGTGGCAATTAATCACTTGTCCTTTATTGATTGTTTGCAGTTATGTTATGGACCATGACAAACATAAAGCATCAGAGCTGAGACAGGTAAGAAATCTCATTTTGGTGAAAGTTTCATTTCGGACAATCTTTGGTTGTACAGATAAGAAACATATCAAGTGAAAGCATTTAAGTCAACACTCGTTGGTCGTTTCGTATCAAATGTTAGCTTAAAAGTTATTTGGCTTCGTTGATAAATGTATATTTTGATAGGTACTTTAAATGAATGACTGAAATGGAGATCTCATGGTGCATTGGTAGATAATTGTGTCAATTGTGTAACTAACTAGATAGAGTTTATTGTTTTTCCTTTCTTGTTGTTGTACCACAAGTATATTGAACATTATTTCCTTGAAGGTCATAGCAGCAGCAGTGGCCAGCGATAAAGAAAAGTATTCAGAAGCATTTCTCGGGAAACCCAATGGTGAATACTGTGAATGGATTCTTAACCCAGAGAAGTGGGGAGGTACATGTCACTTTTGTCATGCTTGGTAATGACGTTAGGAGTTTCACTGCTTATATTTTCCAATGAGCTTTACAATGTTCATGATCCAGGAGTTCTTACCCACAATCATCTTACTTCACTCCTTATTGCCCATTTTTGTGTTCAAGATTGTTACTTGTTATATTCATCTTGATATTTTGGGATTTTCAGGTGCAATAGAACTTGCAATATTGGCAGAATATTATGGACGTGAAATTGCAGCATATGATATTCAAACCACTAGATGTGATGTGTATGGACAGGTTAACTACACTTTATCAACCTGGAATTTCTGAAACTAAATTTGCTCAATCTACATCTCGTCTTATTACTCTCTTTTCTGAAACTGACAGGAACATGGCTATAATGAAAGAGTTATGCTGATCTATGATGGACTCCACTATGATGCTTTGGCCGTAATGCCCCCTTCTCTCTCTTGTCACATTTTATGTCACTTAGCATTGGTCTTTCATAAGATTTGGTAGTTTTTCTTTTGGATTCACCTTGTAAGATATGATTAATATGTTGAAGATCCTGTTGTTTGGTTGTGCCTTCATGACTCTGTGCCTCCAGTTTTAACTCCTGATTATTTCACTAGTATAGCACGTTTGGGGGTTTGGTCTAAGGAAAGTGTCAACATAACTTCTGATGAATGATAGATAAAGGGGCACAGATGCCATATAATTGTTAATCTTCCCTAAACACCATTCACATATATTGTTCTCCCTCAAGTGTATTTCTGCTGTCCTCACAGGGCAACAGATTTTATAAAATAACTTCTACTGCACCTTTAATCTCCTTACATGGTAGAACTATGATTTCTGCTGGTTTGAAGGGCTCTTAGCGTTGCTTTAAACATTAGTAGGATGCATTAATTGCGTTGTGCATAAAATTTACCACTTCAGATATGAATTTCTCCCTAAGGTTGGAGTGAGCCTAGAATATATAAAATTGACTACTCCATTGCAAGTTTCAAACAGGAAAAACACTTGGACCTATCAAAAAAATGTAGTAGCAGAATCATACACTCTGTCGAGCGCCTCATTATTAGATATCCAAAATTATATCCAAAAAAAAAAAATAGCAGCTTTCATTTGCTATGTTGGTGTTAGTCCACCACATCCTACAGCTTCTAATATAGTGTCTGCTTCAACAGATGTCACCATTTGATGGAGCTCCTGAAGAATTTGATCAGACAATATTTCCTGTTCAGAAGGACCGAACAATTGGAAGTGTGGAGGGACTTGCTTTTAACCTGGTTAAGGAGCAACAACGGTATGTCTCAGATATCATCACACTTTCGGATCAGTTCTCTTGCTTATTAGATGCAACAGTCTATTAGTCTAGTTGTTGAAACCATAACATGTAGTGGAAAATCTTCTGGAAGAAATTTCTCGTTACTTGGAATGCCAAGAAACACTTCTTTGGAGAAACTTTAAAGATTTGAAGCGTATGGATTGTGAAGTAGTTAGATTTTCATGTATAGATCTTGCTCATTATTGTTACGTTAATTAGTAACATTGTTCTGTGTCGGAAAGTTTCTGAATTTGTTGTAGGTTCTATCAAGAACGCAATATTTTCCAGTCATTTTAGTTAATCTTTCTCTTTGTTGAGTTGAAGGTGAGGATAATCAGTTGAAGGTGAGGATAATTCACACCTGTTCCATGTTCATGTTTTAAGAACTTTTAGGGATTTGTATTCTTGATTATAAAGGGCAGTTTGGTTTGCTGCCATATTTCTATAGCCCTTCTCTTCATGATTATATATTATGAGTGGTTGAAATGAGGGGCTTTATGCTTATTTGATATTTTCACATGGGTCCTCTTAACAATGTCTCTCGATACTGTGTATCCAATATTTAACTGATTTCTATTGAACTTAACTGTTTAATCTTGGTCGAATTTGGCTTTCGGTTGTTGGGTAGTCAAGTTTGTGATGTTCGATGTATGTTTGAATTGGAAAAGTGAATGTGCCTATCATATGAGCAAGCAGATAAAGTCATACAATACGCAACTCTGCTTGACTTCCCGTGTGTTATGTGCTTGAGATGGAGTGACTCTAGTTGAGACTTGATCATAGCCAACCCTAGTCGAATAAAAGCTCAGTAGTTTGTTGTTGTGGCAGTGATATTTCTTCAAATGTGATGTTCTGATTTAGTTGAACATAGTTTAGGTCATTTCTCCAACTGGATTTTTCTAGCTGATTATGTTAAAACTTCAGCAAATATGTGTCTTTAAAATTTTGAAATGCTATATTGTTTTGGACCTTGGTTTGTTGACTTGTTTCTAGAAGAGTTGGGCAACTCATCTTCCTTACAAAGTTGCATCTATTTCAGAATCTCGATAATGATGTTTTCTGCCTTGCAGGAAAAGGAGTTTCACAGATACCGCTAACTTCACTCTGCGCTGTGGTGTTTGTCAAATTGGAGTCAAAGGCCAAAAGGTAACTTAACCACTGTCATCTCTTCACATTGTATTCATTCCATTCATCTGCCCTTGGTCGAAAATTTTGTAACTAGTGTTTCACTTTTTTTGTGATGTCTTGAACGAACAGGAGGCTGTTGAACATGCACAAGCAACAGGTCACGTAAACTTCCAAGAGTACAAATGAAAGAAGATTGTGAAGAACAGAGTTGATTTCCTTTTTTCTGGTGATTATTATAGTCAGTTCTTCGTGGGAATGCCATGTGGCTTTTCTTTTGAAATTGAGTTGAATCATTGTTTCAAAGGATTTTAACGACCTGCTGATTAGTGGTGTCGCTACACTTGGTATTGTACAATATGATATTATATACATGATCATGTATTCATACATGGGACTTGTGATGACAATAAGCTTTTTAACTTCATTGATGTACAATTATACGAGAAATCAGTTTTGCACTCTAGACATATCAACTGCCTGATTTACGTTCTTGCATTTTGGTTAAACCCCTGAATTGGTTTGTTTTGCAATTAGAAATTAAAAACATTATGTTTTCCTTTCTTTGTCCGAAAAGATTATCTAATTTGAATTTTCATTTGTAATACAATGTGTTCTAAAAAAAAAAAATCTAAGTTATACAATCATTTTGGAGCAAGAAGAGTACATCTTTTGCTAGTTTCCTGCAACTTTAGTAATTTCGGGAGAATATGATCATGTGATTGAGAGGTGGTTTCCACTACACCAGCAGCCAAGAATAGTAGCAGAATTTGAACTTCATCTCAAATAAAGTTAGAATTGCAATATTTATTTTTTCCAAGAATACAATCCTGATAAGGTTTTACATCCTACATGGATTACTCTCAATTTATTGAAAAGGTCATGAATTCCACAGCATGTTTTCCCAAGGAAATTACAAAGCAGCTATGCATTCTATTTCAATCTTTGCATCTAGTGGTAGAGCGGCAACCTGGTAAGTTGAACGAGCCGGTGCAGGTGATGTAAAATCTGCATCATACAATATGCCAAAGGAGACTCAGAATCCAAAAAAAAACATCTGTAACATATGTTCAAACTGAATTGGAAATTCTTCACAATCTGAATAATGTAGAAAGATATTCCCTAAATTGCATTTTGAAACCCTTTTCTGTGTTATGAAAGAGGAAAGTTAAGGTCAAGATAATCAAGGAAGATATTCGGGTGCTTACAATCACAGCAACAGGGAACAAACAAATTAAAGGTCAAGATAATCGGGTCACTATATTAGATCTCATCAGGGGCAAGAAAAGTAGAAATCCACAGTGTGAGAGAGAGAGAGAGAGATATGTATTTTCAAATAAGTTGTAGCATTAAAAACATTAGGACAACAGATATGCATAATAATGTGGGTTCGTGATTGCAGTTCACTGTGTTCTATGCTTTTCCTGCACAAGAAGAAGGTAAAATAGGATATCAATAAAGAATAACGAACCAGCTTCAGCAAAGTGGACTTACATTTAGCATAAATCTCATTGACTTTCTTAAAGTCCTTCAAGTCAGCCAACCTGCAGCAAAATCAAATGATTCGTCAGCCTTAAGAATGAGAAAGTCAGGCCAAACAAACAACAGATAAATCCAGAAATGAATCAAAGATTGAACACTCACATGATTGTGGTCTTAACTACGGAGGAATAGCTGGCACCACTTGCTTTTAGTATCTCGCCCATATTCTTAAGAACCTGTTAATATCGCATAAGCTCCGCCATATTAGTAGGTTATCCTCTTTTCAATACGGAGAATGAAATATCATCTACGAACTAAGCCTTCAATCTTTAAAACTACGAGTTCAAATTTTAAACATAATCTAAAGTTTGCCGTCAGGGTGACATGGTAACAAAACCATAACAGCATGCCGACAAAAGAAAACATAACACTGATGTCTAACATAAGAGAATAAATAAGAACACCCATTTCATATAATTATTAACTCCTTTCCGATGAAATTAGAATTTAGAAATCCTAATACCATATCCAACAGTATAGCATAAATAAGTTGAAAATTTAGAATTCCAAATTTAGTAACTCATATGATTCTACAACAATGGCTAAGCATCAATTACAAGATTGTATATTTGTACTGGAGTAACATACCTGCTCTGTTTGATCCTCCACGCTATCAGAGACAAACTTCCCAGTCTGCATTATAATTTTAGAAGCAGTTTGTAAGTGTTTCACCAACGAAAATATATAATATGTAATGACTAGCTTTTCCCAAACCTCGGGGACAAGGCCAAGAACCCCTGAAACAAAAACAAGATTGTTTGCTTTGATAGCTTGAGAATACGGTCCCAAAGCTGCTGGTGCCTTCTCAGTCTGTACAGCTTCCTTCACACCTATGATACCATAAACAAAAACATGCCTCAGCTAAGCAAATTCCCAGAAAATTGCGAACACATTCCACAATTCAAGTTATTCATAGCCAATAAATAGTTGATTTGTTAAATTGGAATCCAGTGCAACACATGTGATTGTTATTCATTTCTCCTGTACATTTACCATCGAGCTCATAAAGAATTAGTGGAAAACCATAACCCCTCCTATAATGTCTTCATCAGAGAAAAGCTTAATTCAAGATAATCCAGCATCCGAAATGATTCCAGTTTCATCAGGGAAAGCTTAATTCAAAACCCAAGAGATAATCCAGCATTCATTTCTAAGTAAATTCTCAACCAGCAACTTCTCGAATTTTGGCTTTTTCTTGGTTAAAAAAACAATTAACATCTGGGTACACATGACACATCAGATAGAATCAGAAAGAAAATCACAGTTCTCCCTCTATTTCCTCCAAATACCACTAATTTCCAAGTATATTAAAAATCAGCAAATTTGGGGATTTTCACACGTACGTTACAACCCACTGGTCAATTTGCTACAACATAATAATATGAAGCAATATTATACAAGAACTCACTGGCATCAGTGGCAATGCCAACACATGCGAAGGGTTTTGATCGAAGGGCGGTAGTAGATCGGGCGAACTTGGAACCGGCGAATGATACGCAACCGACGCCGACGGCTAACGGAGCCCGAGTACGGAGTGCTCTGATATCGACCGCCGGCAGATGAAAACTCTTTCCAGCCGCCACCCACGCCATAGTTCAAACAGTTCAGAGCTCAGACTCCAGCGTCCAGATACAGTCAGTCAGAGAGGTCTCCGCTTTTTCTATTTATTGTCTTTCTCCGACTTTCTCATTTCATCCGTTACACCTGTATTTATACTCAAAATACTTGAATCCATTTCTTGTTACTTATGCACCTTAGGCCCAAATATTTGTAGGCCGTAAGGCCTATCAGTTTCTGTTCAACTGCTTCTTGAGCCCGAAGGAATTTAAAATAGAATAATAAGATTGCAAAATAAAAATTACTTAATTAGTAATTAATTTTTCTTAAATGTTTGATCAATTAAACCAGAAGTAATTTAAAAGGTTCTAAAAATAAAAACAATAATTTTTTTACATCAATTTTTTTCTGTGCGATGAATAATGATATTAATTAAGGAAAATTCTAGGGTCCCGTTGCCTATTATAAAGGTTTAGTCCCGTTAAAAATTTAGCCAATAAGAAAGTAACACATCAATGTAGCATTAAATTTTCCTAATTTTTAAATTCTTTTGTGACCTGCTAAACAGGTATATTTAATCAAAATTTTAAAAATTGAATAATTTAGGAAAATTTTAATATTTAAAATAAGAAAATCATCATTAATTAATAATGAAGTTTCCTTTTTTCATATTATATATTGCACAAATACTTACATATAATTGCACATTAATTATAAAACATTGCACCTATTAATTTTTATAGTAAGTTAATAATGGATATCCACATTTTATTTCTTTTTATTTTTATAGTAAGTTAATAATGGATATCAAAACATTGCACTTTTGAGGATGCAATTGCACATTAAAAAAAATACATTGCACATTCACTTCCAAATAATTGCATTATGCTAAAAACTTTCTATAATTCTTAATTAAACTTTCTTATTTTATTTTTACATTACAAAAATAAATTACGTGTGACTGTGCATTTGCTCATTAGGAATTGCACCTATATTTTATATTATTGCACCATTGACTTAAAAAATATTGCACCATTTCTTATAAAAGTTTTTTTTTAATAATTAAATTTTTTTATTTAGGATTTGCTTATAACCCTTACTAAGCGAGTATTAACGTACTTTTGAATAATAGAATTTTATTTGCAACTTTCTTTTTGAATTTTTTAGCATAATAACATATTTTTAAACATGGCACATTTTTGTGTACATTATTACACTAATAATAAAATAAAGTGTCTCTATATTTTATGTTGTCTTATCGAAACTATATTTTTGTGCACAGGAATATTTAGGTGATAACTAATCATTTTATTGTCTACGGAAATGTTTAGCTACCTTTCTTGTAATTTCTTTATCTTTATTTTTAATTTTTTGTATTCTTTGTTCTAATACAGTAGATAACTAAACTGATTGCTATGACATCACAATCAAAAGGAGCAATGACAAGGATAGTGACTATATACAGTGAAATGGGATAGTGACTAGTGAAAATACAAAAGCACTACAAACATAATAGGGGCAATTAAATAAATATATGCATGTTACGTTAGTCACTATCTCATTTCACTATTTATTTTTACTGTGTATACATTTTCTAATCAAAATAGATAGAATGTTTGAATTTCAATATTGAGAGTCAAGTATATACAAAGAATTAAAGCAGAAAGAATGATAGTTTTTTCACCCATTCAAAATTATTGTTATCGACATTTAGTAACGCCGAGTATTTCTTATTTTATTTTTTCTTATTTTTATAATAAATATACAAACATCGCACCTTTGAACATGCCATTGCACATCTAAGAAAATCATATTGCGCTCACTTACAAACAATTATATTGTACTAAAACTTACTATAATACTCAATTAATTTTATTAATTGCACATTTACTGCTTATTAAAAATTTCACATAGATTAATACATGATTACACACACCCAAAAAAATTGCACCACCTTTTACATAAACTATTTTTTTGGGCACAATCACACCACCGAATTCTTCATATCTTATGCCACCGGTGGTCCTTTCCAAAAGCCCCTAAATATGAAAAAAAAAATAAAAGAAAAAAAAACAGCCAAGGGACTGTTAAAGGAGAAGAGAGGGAGGATTTCATTAATGAAATATTAATGTACGAATAATTATTAAGGTTAGAAGAAAACTCCAATTAAATATTATACCATAAATAATTTACGGGTTGCTAGTCATATGCACTTTTACTATTTTATTCATTTAATGCAAATTCAATGGTTGTGATTTATTTAGATTGATTCAACGGTTATTAATTATATAACGGGATCATACCCTTAAAATTAATAACGGGTTGCAATAGCTTCCCTTCCGACGTCAATGGAAGACAGGTGCTGTGGCGGTGTAAATAGATGAGAATACAAAAATATATGAAATGGATAATTTGGGAACAATTGTAAAAAGAAATTAAAAATTAAAAGAATTGTTATGTGGTGCAGCAGTTGTATGCAATAATTTCTCTGATGTTAGTGGTTTTTGTGAACTGGTTTTAAGAACATCATATTAATGCATTAAATGTACTATATAATACTCAACTTGCAGTTTAGAATTAAAAACAAACTTTATCAGGGAGTTAATTTATTGTTTGAGCTTTTAATTTGTGATGAGTAATGAGTTAATTAAGGAGCATTAAGTTATCAAACCCTAAACCCTAACCCGCATTCTTGCGTACATGATTCATAAATTCATCCTACATTATTGATTACTAGTTTATGCCCGAGCGTTGCACAGATTGATGGATCGTTCTTATTTAAATATCAAGTTATAGTTTTTTTATTTTTATTTTTTTACAGTTGTGGAACTTTTAGTGCTGATGTGAAAACATAGAATATAGTGTATAAAGTGGTAACAAGCTGATAAAATGAATCGAACCCGAAAAAATATCTTTATATCATATGGAGTGTTTCGATGTAGATAACATTTTTCATCCGATTATTAAATTCTCCTTCCTTGTTGAATATGATTATCTATTTAGATTTTATCTTAGAAAGTGAAAATAAGTCCACTTGCGAGAATGACTGACTCTTAACACGCAATAATCGATAATTGTCTCCTCTTTAATTGAATCGACATCCTTATGTCGGAAGGGTGGATGTCCATGCGTGAAATGAGAATTTTTTTTTGGATATCTGATCCGAATATAATAATTATTTGAATGTCACGATCTTCTAACTCGCTGAGGTAAGGTTATGTATGGTTATAATTAATTCTCTATATACTTGCAAATTCTCCCCGTAACAATCATTATTCTTTAAAAAAAAAATAGCGATGTATATAGAGAAAATTTACATGGAATTTTAATAGGAAATGATAAAGTTGAATCTTAACTATCATGTCCCCTTAAATGGATAAAAAAAAAGTAAAGGTAAGGTTTAAATATGTATGATTACTATTTTTAGTAGATAAAAAAAATTCATTTGTCATATAGTAGACCGTGGTGTTTGTTGTAATATGAACGAAATGTGTATGCACGCACTATTTTTAGCTTATATTTTAGGAAATTAAATAGGGGAGTGGCGTTTGTTATCACGCACTAAATATTTATGGAGAAAAATAAGGAACTTTGTTTCAATCTTTATCTTTAATTCAAATTACTTTTTCTTTTCCAATATTATCCATTAAATAGAAGTTTTAGAATTCTCAATCTTTCTCATCTTTCACTCTTTGTTGTAATCTTTCTCATGTACTGGCGAACAATTTCTATTGCCTCTTTATGATCATCATTGTTGCCGTATCCGTGTTCGCATCAATTAAGAAAGAGAGAAAGGTTCTTATTTTTTTGTTTTTGTTTTAATTGATAACTAGAATTTCGTATAATAAATTCATATTTTTCATAAATTTTACTTTTCTCGAATGCAAAATCTCAATTGATACTTGAAGTTTGTACACTAATGATTATAATTGTTTTAAAATTTGGCTTTTGAAGCTTCAATCATCAGTTTGAGCAAAATTCTCTTCTTTTTTTTTTCTTTTTTGATTCGGTGTTTTCACACTTTCTTGGGGGGAATTCACCATTTTTGTGTGTTTGTGTACATTTAACGTGCTTTTCAAGTATGGAATTAGTTGGTTTAGATGATGTATTTGCATTAACATTCATTCATAATAAACTTGATCACGCATAAAATTTTTCAGAATATGTCATTGCTTGCCTATTCATTCATTTTATGGATCTTGGCCAATATAATCATACTAGTTTTTGGTTTGTTTTTGTTTTTTTCACAGTATGACTCAATATTCATTCAACTTTGACCCCATATAGACAAAGTAAAGAGTTTATATACTTTTCTTCATTGGTTCATACATATAAAATAACTCGTTTATATGCCACACATCATTGTGCTTTGAAGTTCATATTACCCTATTTTGAAGTTCACACGAAAATATTATATGCTCTTTTTCATTCAATATTTTGTTGTGTGTGTACATTTAACTTTATTTCGTGTTTTTTAATACTAAATGGCATTTAGAAATTTGTCAAGAAATTTGTTTTCATATTAATAATCCATTGTTCATATAATTTTTTTGTTATAATTCGTAATCTGATAGATTTATTTATAGCAAATAATTTAAGTAGGGGTTTTTAATTATATTTTAACATGACATGGGTCATAGATGTAATGATTATCTCGTTTTTATTATACATATTTTTTAACTCATTCTTTTGTCTAGAATGACCAAGGTTAAAATATTATTCATCATATTTTTAGTTTTTTCTTTTTGCACATATAAACTTTGGAATTTTATTTTTTATAAAAATTTTATGTCCGTGATAGTTATCTATGTAAAGATTCATACATACAATTATCTTTTAAATTCATACATATAATATACTTTGTTAGATTTAATTAGAGAAAAACTCATACCATTCGTATTTTTATATATTTGGTCGTATGACAAATATTTAGTGTTCATACGACAAAAATTCTTAAGTTTTATTCAATTTATAGGTTTTTGACAAATGTTTATACGTTTTAGCTTTAGAGTTCATATACATAAACTTTAATTGTCACATACATTCTTGAGTTTTTGTTCAATTTATAGCTTTTTTGACATAAATGTTTATACGTTTTAGCTTTAGAGTTCATACATA